CAACTCAAAAACCCCGCAGATATAAGTGAAGGTCCTTGATGGTAATTAGTATGACCTATATTAGATGTATAAATGTAGGTGTACAACAATGTTGTAGAAAGAAAAGAGTTTTTGCATTCATGTCATTTTAGTTAGGTATTTTCTTCCAGATTACTTTGGCTTAAAATAATATTGCAGATGTATCTATACATATGTGATTTTGAATTAACGAATACTTGAAATAAAACGAATACTTTTGCGCTTGCGCTATCACTAATAGAGCTAATGCAAGGGTGATTCCCCCAAATGAATATTGTAAGGAACGTTTGTGTGCGATCGGGCGCACGTGTGCGTGAACGGCTTATCGATTTGCCGACTAGCCGCGGGGGCTTTTCTTCATGTGCGCTGTATTTGTAAATGTGTGTATCGTACCTGAGTTCTGGGAAACCAGTTAAACAGTTCAAAGAAAAAATAAACTATCCGGATGTTGCCAGAAGGTTCAAGAAAGTAAATAAAGGAAGAGACCATCGCCGAGAAGAGTAGAAATAAATTGACCGTTGCAGAAGTGAATCGAGAAATAAATTGAAAGTGATAGCAGTGAAATAAATAGCGCAGTGAATAGTGATATATCAACAGTAGTGTAAATAAATAGAATAATTCATAACCTAAGTTTAGCAATAATGTAATAGTGTTTTTAAGTTCTTTAATAATTACTGTAAATAAATAGTTTTTGTCGTTATCAGTCTTAGAAGTTAATTCTGTTAAACCCACCAACATTACAGTACGAACACGCAAACAAGAACATGAACGTCACCACAAACTTGGAATGCCTGACAAATCCGCGGTGACAGAATATGTCATTTTTGAGTGGAAGATGCATTTGGAGTAAAACATAATATTTTCGGTATACCATTAAAAAAAAATTGTCGTTTTTTCTTGGTCCAGTCTAATATATGTGCAGTGCGCCCTTATCTGTAGCATATTTATCTGTACCTATGAAATATCAAGGAGAAACGAACATGTATTTAATAATAATAAAAGCGGGCTGATTAAATCAACTACTTAGATGCTGATAAGAAACTGTTTTAATATTCCTTATTTCCTCATGGATTTCAAAGAAAACAGAGGTAAAAGAACGTAAAAAGTTGCTGGAGGCAAAGTAATATTCGTTTGTAATTTAAAAATGTAATTAGCTTTGTCTACAAAAAATTATTCTTTCAAGAGAATATTTCAACGTGTACAAAGTGATTTGGCAACCCTGTTCGAATGACGTTATCATGGAAAGTATAATCCTTATATACTTCACTTACTTTCTCTAGCGATGTGCCCCTTCGAATGTCTTGGATGCGCGTTGGCAAAATTGTAGGTAGGGAGAAAAAAGCTCATTATACTCTCGACTCTTGTTCATTAAACATACTTATTCATAAAGGTAAAAGTTGGTCTGTGTTCTGTCGGAGCTGTCTGCGACGCGCTGATAAGATCCAAAAAGATCGAAATCGCGATCCGCGTCTGGCAGTTTCGACAGAATACAGACCACTTCGAATTATTTTATTC